TTAAGGTTCATTTAGTGATTTACATCTGGTTCTGATTTAAGGTGACTTTTTGTGGTTGAAAACGGGCCCAAGAACCCTTTAGAGCTCTCTGGACCAAACTGTTCTGCCTCAAAGGCGAGCCTGCTTTTGGATTTTGTAGGGTGTCACAATGTGCCCAGGCCCTGTATGACAATGACCAGAATCAGAGAATTCAGAAATAACAGAGGTAGACAGGAAATTGAGCGTGGGCGTCATTAAAAAAAGATGCTGAGGATGGCTGAAACTCCAAGCAGCTTACTACAAGTGGGGTGACACTGCTCACTTAATTATTTTTCTTTCTCCATCGGTTCCAGTCAGTGAAAGGCAAGTAGCAGAGACCAACATGACAGCAATACTTGTGTTTTATTCCCCTTCTCCATCTGGTGCCTTAAACAACTTAGCATGCTTCTGAAATGGGCTCTGCATTGTCTTAGGATTCATTAGCATTTAAAACCCCCGCTTGGAATCCCAAACACACTTCTGCTCCCATTTCTGATGCAGCCACCATCTTCCTCAGTATAAAAATGGGGAGATCTCTGAGATGTGGAGTTTGTTTGGAGAATTTGTAAGGGAGGTTTTGTGTTTCTGGAGGATATTTTTTATTGCTTCTTTCAGCTTCCTTTTGATGGCTCTTCTTTGAAAGATTCTTCACAGAAATGAAGCACATGGCGTTTCTCATTGACCATGGGTTCTGAAAACACTGCACCTTCTTCCAGTAGTGGCTTCGTGTTCCCACCCACGCGCAACAAGCAGGAAACATGTGACATAAACACATGGCAGCTCTGTGAGTCACGTTCTCTCTGGTCGTCCAGCAAACATTCAATTGTCATCTCGCTGAGTGCTGTCTGTGCTGACATATTATAATTTTCTGAGCCCCCAATAAGTCATCGATAATTTTGTCCATTTTCCCCAGTCTGTGTTTATATTTGTAGCTGTTTGTAATTGTGTGCTATTATGACAACTGTGGCACGTGAAACCTTAGCCTTCTCCTCCAACCAGCTGCCTACACGATGCCAACAGCGGCACGTGGATTTCTTTTGTGACAGGCATGCTTATCCAAAATTTTGAGGTTTAACAGTCAGACTCTGATCTGCTCCCAGAGCATTCTTTTCAAAACACACAGCAGTACCGGGAGCTTCCCAAGTTGAGTATTAAATGAGAACAAAAAAATAATTCATTGCAGTTTGAAACAGAGATATGAGTATGTTGGCACGATGAGTCAACACAAAGGCAGAGAACAGGTGGTAATACAGCACAATGACACTTTGGGATATTCTGCAGAAATTTTCTGAAGGTCCACACGTGTATTCTAGGCAGGTGTGTTTGCTTTGCTGGCAACTCTTGCAAACTATGAGACAAGGGCTACCATGTCGCAGTAGAATGGTGGCTCATCCAAAGCAGCCTGTGCCCTTTGGTTAGCAGAGTCTGATTTCATTCACTGGATACTGCCTCTGCTTGCACCTAGGGTGGCCTGCATCCTAAGTGTGTCGGAAACCATGCCTATTACCAAAATCTGCAGTCTCACTGGTTTTATTAAGCAAGAGCATCTTTGATGTGAAAAGGACAGGCTATGTCAAACCCCTGTTAAGTCAATGAAGAATTAGGTGTGGAGACAAATCATTTTGGAATGGCCCAATACTTTGTTTTGGCAACTCTCAAACAAGTGCTCAATTTTAAAGATATTTCATTTTGTTTTTGTAAGAAAAAAATGGAATTATTTCTCTCCAGGTATTTTCCTAAACAGATTTGGCATAATTTTTTTAGCAACTGTATTTTGATGAAATTGCTTGATAATGCCTAATGAGCTACATAGGTCAATTATTATATAATTTCATCCTCTAATTATAAAATAAATCGTCCCCTCCCCACAGTCCCAACTATTCCCATTAAGAGAGAACCCAAAGGTAGACTCATTACAAGTTACTTATTAAATGGGAAATAAAATACAAAAGAGAAAGAGGAAAATGTTTTGTCATCCTATGGGTGCAATTAAAAAGCCTTAAATATTTCATCATAATTATAATATGTACATTAGGAAAGCTCCATCTCACTTTTAAAAGCCAAAATGGGAGAATGGGAATACTTTCCCTTTAAAACATGAGAGTTGGGAAGAGTGAATCTCAAATTCTTTGCATCTGTAAATACATTACATGATCAGACAAAGAGAATGTAGACATCATACCCACTTCTTGCTACATTTCAAATAAGAAGTCTTAGAATAGAATTAGTGCAAAGAAACATTCTGCTTTATATTTACAGCCTTAAAGAATACCTGGTCATCATCATCATTATTCTTTTCTACTGCTAGCCTAAGACTAGGTGCTGATTTTGTAAATATTGGTATGCAAAGGACCAACCTTGGGCTAGGAAGGCCTTTACAAGACCCCCTTCTTCTCAAAGGCCTGGCTGAAAAAAAATGGGATACAACAGGAAAAGTGAGGTCAGGGACACAGGTAAGACAAGTAAGATGATTAGTAGAGCAAGCGACTGGTGTGTTTCAAACTAGAGCTCTGGATACAGCACAAGCTATTGGGCCTTGGAATGATGCCTCCCGTCCAGTCACTGAGTCTTGGGTAGGGGACAGGGGCCGAGTCTTCCGAGTGGCACTGTGGGTGTCGTCTCATGAACAAGAGGTTGCTGTACACAATTGTTGGGAAGGGAAATCACTTTCTGGAGGCTTCCACCAGGAAGTTTCATTTCATAAAGCAAAAGAATTCATGGGCCTAGAGCCTGATGCATATCCAAGCACACACCGAGGGGTTACTGGACCAGAGAGAGATGTATGCTCATGTGGCATTGTGGGTGTGATAGGGAGGCATTAGGATGACATAGTTCCAATCAGCGATGCTCTACTGAATGGGAGAATGGAGTCACCACACAATTCCACCATGATCTCCCAACATTCATTGGAAACCACACCTTAGCTTTGGGAGTGTGAGAACAAATTAAGCTGAGTTGGGATAAAAGCCAACTCTGAAATCCTGAAACAACTCTAGTAGGTTTCAGTTAGAATCATGAAACACTATGTTAGCAGTCCTCCTAATAATAGGGAGACACATATTTTAATTGAGTGCACAGAGAAATTTCAGGGATGTGTTTCCCATCTCTGAAGATGGCTCTTGCGATTTAGTGCTCCAGATGGTAGGCTTGTACTTTCCTGTGAAGGCAATCCTGCAGGCTAGCAATTGTGCAGAGGACATAAAATGTGTCGAGATTTCAGATGGGAGAAGATGGCACTGACTTACAGAAAAGGGAGCTTGGAGGAAATGGGGGCAGGGACAGGATCTGTGTTTTCTTAGCAACTAGTTTTATCATTGCAACCATCATTGATTTCGTAAGGTCTGTATGAAAAGAGCTCTAAGTTGAATAATGAATTCTAGTCACCGTTCCTCAGAGAAATCAAACACAGTAGAAGCCTGTTTATGTTTTCTCTGCTCTATCCCCAGTGCCTAGAACAGTGCTTAGAATTGACCTGTTCAACAAACATTTGCTAAATAAATAAACTTAACTTATCTGGTCCCATTTCATAATCTAGAAAATAATAATTTTTCTATAGATCCATATGTATTTAGAAGAACATGTGAGATAAATAATGCAGAAGTGATTTAAAAATATAAAACACTAAATACATTATAGATGTTAATGCAAACATCCTTCTAGATGTATAAATAGATTTGAGATTTTTCTCAGTTTCTTGCTTTCCTTTTTTATAACATACTTTCCTGGACTTGATAAGGAGTGGTAAATGTCTCTATCAAGAATAAAATATGACATGAACACATCATTATTACAATTCAGAACCCTGAAAGAGTTAAAGCTGCAGCTACATCGTCATGGCAATGACATTAAAATATTTATTTATTTAATGTATTTGAGAGGCAGAGAGACAGCGAGAAAGAGTTAGAGAACGATCCACTGATTCACTTCCACAAATACCTGCAACAGCCAAAGTCAGCTCAGGGCTGGGCCAGGCTGAAGCTAGCAGCCTAAACCTCAATCCAAGTCTCCCATGTAAGTAGCTTGCATCAGGTAATGAAGTCATTATCTGCTGCCTCCCAGGGTGAATATTAGTAGGAAGCTGGAAGAAGGCGCACAGCCAGGACTCAAACCTGAGCATTTTGACATGGGATATAGATGTCGCGGGCAGCTCCTCAACTGCTAGGCCACACTTGGCCCCTCAGTGATTTCTTTTAATAATGGTCACTTATATTTTATCTGAGTCGACAAGGTTCTAGAAGATGACAGTGGACATCTAGGCCTGGGGATCAGCATTGCTTCTTTGCTTAGGCAGGCTACATCCACTTACGGAACTCTGAATCCTCTGTCCATGATTCCCCATGCTAAAACCTTCTGGGCTGCTTGTGCTATGGCTGAGTTGTCCCTCATGCCCTTCCTCAGCTGGTCCTCAGTCACACCGTGGCAAGCCGCAAGAGACGAAAAGAAACCAGGCATCTGGTCCCGTTTAACACAGCCTCAGAAAATGGTATAAATACATATGGAGGATTGAATAACATTGCCTGGTGGTCTATAGGGAATGGCTAAGGGTAGAAACCCTTAAATCTGAGGTTCATTTAGCAAAGAGCAAAGAGGGTTTTGATGACAAAAGGGTAAATAGTAAGTGTCAGAGAGAGGTGTGGACAGATTTCAAAATACTGTTAGGAATTTCTGTTTTTGAAGTCTTTATGATCACATTGGCAACATTAAGGAATGACGTAATCCTGGCTGGGATATGTAAAAGTCCTTCCAAAAGTAACTACACTACATAAACTTTGAAACAGAGGAACTAACAAGCTATTTATGGAGGAGCATAAAGAAAAATAAAAGTATGTGACCGTTGCTGAGGTCTGGTTCTGATGGAACACACTCTCAGCCTTAATTCTGGTGTCTGAAGAATTCCCTGGAAGCCCTTGGGAGTGACTTCTTTCAGTACAGATCCTGCCTGAGTCATGTTGCTTCCCACTGCAGTTAGGATCGCTTCTTACCTGCTTTTGCTCTTCTCCTAAACCATCCCACATTGAGGCCACGATTTTCGAGACTTCACCAAAGGTAGCGTTTGGATTTTGGCCCTTGATGGCAGCCTGAGTATCACGAAAGAATAACGCATAGGCAGACACCGGCTTCTGGGGCTCGTTAGGGTCCTTCTTCTTCTTCTTTTTGGGAGTTTTTGGCTTTTTCCCCATATCAGAGGCAGGCCTCTTCTCTCCTCCATTGATCTGAAACAAGGAGTAAAATAGAATTATAGAGGAAGTAAGAAAATTTGCAGTCAAGTCATACTGTTTTCCTTGGAGACTTACATAGATATTCACCTGTATATTATTGCACAAACACAAAGATTCCTCAGGGACACATAGTTTTTTTGTTTTTTCAAATAAAACTTAATATTCCATGGAGTCACCATATTCATCCTTAATTTCAAAAGCTTTAGAAAATATGTTGTGGGAGGAGTCTGGCCTGGTGGTTAGGATGGTGGTTAGAATGCCACGTTGGAGTGTCTGGGTTTGAGTTCCAGCTCTGGCTCTTCACTCTAGCTTCCTGCTAATGTGCTCACCCTTTGAAGCAGCAGTTGATGGTCCCTGCCATACCACACAGAAAACCTGGATTAAGTTCCCCGTTCCTGCCTTTGGCCTGGCCCAGTCCTGGCTGCTGCAAGCATATGGGGAATGAAATACCAGATGGTATTTCAGCTCTGTCTTTCTGTGTCTCTCTGCTTCTCAGACAATTTTTTTTATTCTTTTTTATATTATTACATTATGAGATACTGTCATTTTAACTCTGACCCTTTCTCCTTCATTATAACTGTGTTGGCAGCAGATTTTTCTTATAGTAACCCTAGTGGATGAGCAACCAAATCTAACTTGGTTCCTCCTGGGGAATTTATCCATGTCTTCCTAATTATGACTTTAAAACCATGGGGGCAACATGTCAAATAAATAAAGTTTTTTAACTTTGCATTTGGTTCTCTGAAATGCTTCTGGGAAAAATGTATTAATGCATATGATTTAGAGAATGGCATGGGCCAGACACTAGATCAGTGCTCTCCAAAGGAACTTTCTTAATGAGGCAGAAGTTCTACATTCTGCACTATCTTATATGGTGGTCAATAGCCATGTGAAGCTAATGACTGTGTGAATGTTCTAGAGAGAATAAAGAGCTAGATTCTAAAACTTTATCCAAATTTAAATAGCTACATATAAATAATGGCTATCTGATTGAGAGTGCACCTCTGGAAACCAGATTCTGGAGAATTCTAAAATAGCTTTTACTAAGTAAATCTACTTAACAATAGATTCCTCTTCTTCAACTATGATGATTTAGATAATGTAACATTTATTTATGTGAGAGGCTGAGAGGCAGAGCTCCCATCTGCTGGTTCACTCCCCAGTGCCTGCTACAGTTGGGGTTGGGCACAATGGAAGGTGGCAGCTGGGAACTCAACGCAGGTCGCCCATGTAAGTGGCAGGGAACCAATCATGAGTCATCACAGCTGCCTACCAGCGTCTGCACTGTCAGGAAGCCAGAGTCAAGCATCTGAGCTGAGTATTGAATCCAGGCATTCCAATGTGGGACATGAGCATCCTAATCACTAGGTTAAATGCTTATTCCTGGATAACTTTGTTATTTTGATGCAACTAGGAAAAACACACCTGTGTCTGAATTTTACCTTTGTTGCAAACTAGATGCGATTTCACTTCATCCTTCTCTGTAAAATGAAAGCTTTGGGCCAGGATTTATTTCCAGCCTAAAATTACATGAATCTTCATGAATACAAAGCAGTTCTCTATCTGAAGAATCCTCTCTCCACATGCTTCTCTCACCAACATAAACTCCCACGTGCGCTATCGCCTCGCCGAGTTGCTTCAGTCATGCAGGTACTGCACCCTCACCTTCTGTTGTGGTGGTGGTGGTTGCTTTTTCCTCTCTGCAGATGTGTTGTAATATGTATCTTATTTACATCAATTGCTGGTGGAGTATTTTTGTAAAATAACTGCCAGCACTGGAGAGGAAGCACCATCGGCTGAGAGACCTGTGGATGTGATATCAGAGGATGCAGCTTCTTGCCCTCTTTTAACTATTTTTAGTTGTGTTATCTTGGTTAAATTAACTTCTGGGTCTTAGTTTCTTCCATAAACCAGCTGTGGCACCATGTTATAATTATCGAGATGGTATATTTTTACACATTTTAAAAACTTTAAAAGCCCATTAAAATGTAAATTGTGACATTATTTAAAATAATTCATTGAATAAATGGAAGGAGCTTAATATGAATGTGTGATTCCTTAGGATCACTTTGAGAGTTATGCTCTAGCACCAAAAGGATACAAGAAAGAAGTGAAGTAAATGCTTTGGCTTTTATTATTATTATTATTATTATTGAGAAAGGGATTAAAAAGATTATCACTCTAAAATTGTCTACAGAAGCAGTTCAAAGAACCCCATGGGGACAGGACCTTCTGAACTGAGTTGACATGCTAATGTTGATTAGCACTTGAGGGCAGGTTTTTTCAAAGGATCTCAGAAGTGGTCATGTGAAACTCTTGGCCCCAATGCAAATCTGGCTGAGGACTCATTGCGGAGCTGAGCTGACACTGGGCAGCCTGGTGTGATGGCTCTACATTAAACATGAATGCAGACATGACCTAGCATGCTGGTTCCTGCGTATGGCTGCACTTTGGATCAACCAAAAAGGCTTTTAATAGCTTGATGTTCAGGCTTTAATCGACTTGGATTACTAAATGAGATGCTTCAGAGTGGGAAAGCGGCCACAGTCATACTGTCTCAAGTCTGCTCTTCCAACTCACATTTCAATACCTGGAGATGCACAACAAACAAGCAAACTTTCTCTGTGCCCAAAGCAATTGAAGACCATGTCTCTCCTCTTAGCAATCAAACTCCCCCCAGCGGTTGTTCCTGCTGGCTGTGGGCAGCCTCTGCAGCTCATTGCAGTGTGCTTTCCTGTCACTTAGCTCTTCATATGGCCCCTGGTGGCTACACGGCTGCACCCAAGGCACACTGGGTTCAGCACTCGTAGCCTTTCTCTTATTTGATTGCTGCCCTCTCTTCCACAGGTTCCAAGACACTACTACTCTCTCAGGGTTTCACTCCTATCTCATTGGCCTTGTTCTTAGAATCACCTTTTGGTTCACCGTCCTGTTCCTGGCTATTAAATGATAGCATTCCTGATGCTTTTTGCAGTGAGCTCTCTCCTCTTGTGAGTCTGTACTGAGGTAATCTCACAGGGATGTAGGGTTTTCACTGCTTCTTGTGGGTGGATGACTGTTAAATTCTTATCTCCCCTGAGTTTTGCACACATAGAAATAACTGCTGTTTGACATCTCTGTTTGCAAATCTCAAAGATTAAAGCTTTCAGGGAAAATTTTTAATAAGAACATTTACATTGCATGGTAGTACATTTATCTCTGTGACTGACATTTGATTATTTTCCAAAAAGACTGTTATAATTAAGCCCCTGTTATTCAGTCATGTAGTTCTATAAATTTTCATTCATAGTACATATTAAAGTAATTCTGTAGTTGTGAACTCTTGTTCTGTACCAGACTGTAAGCACTTTGAAGACACGGTCTGTGTCTGGTGTTGCTTACTAGCATTTTTCATGTTTCTTGATATATGGGAAATGCCTAAGATTTGTTATAACAGTGATAAGAATACATAAAAATGAAAACATGACCGGAAGAGTGAATGAGTGAAATCATGAATGAATGAATGAGTGGAACCATAAATGGAAAATCAAGCCTCACAAATTCCCTAAGAACTTTAGGATAGTAAGCAAATATTCAGTAATAGAGAAGACAAAGATGGATTTTGTTAAAGTATTTGACATTCTAAGACTAATTTCTTTATGCTATAGGATATATCTTTGGATTTTCCTTTTCATATTTTTATAACTTCCAAATATTTTATACATAGCCATTCTTACATTCATAATCATATTCATTTAAAAGAAAAATAAAGATGCATCAACCTGGTCCACAATGAAGAATATTAAAAATGGGAGGGGTCAAAGGGTGCAAACTTATAGGATTATAGGATTAATAAAATGTGATAATCTAACATACAGCATGATGTTATAAATAATAGTACCATATTGTGCTTATGTACTTGAAATTTGCAAAACAGTATATCTTAAGTGTTCATATAAAAAAGTGACTAGATGAGGTGATGGATGTGTTAATTAATTTGATCAGGGTAATTGGGATAATCATTTCATGATGTATATGTTCATAAAAATATCATTTTATATACTTTATATAATTTTGCTTGTTACTTATAACTCAATAAACCTGAAAGATGGAATGATCACAAAATTGGAGGTCATATTTTATGAAATACTGAAAATTGAACCAAGCGCAAAGATATATGAGTATTTACCTCTATGGAATAGTATCATTTATTCTATATTTTAATTTAAAATTAATGATCAGACACATTTGAAATCTCCATGGTTGCATATTATAGGAATCTTTTCAGAAAATAATCAAATGCCAATCATAGAGATAAATTTACTACTATGCAATGTAAATGTTCTTATTAAAAAAATTCCCTGAAATGTTTAGTTTTCCTTCTCCATTGTCCAAAATCATGTTTGAACCACTTATCTTCATGCTATTTCCTTTTCAAATTGCTGTTTGAACAAAATGTTTATAGGTTTTAGGTCTAATGAATGCTATAACCAGAAAGAAGAGAGATATCCTTGTATCTGACAAAAGAGTTCCTACTTTCTAGGGATGATCCAACCAGCTATGCCACTGAGAAGTTCAAGTATCAAGTGTGTGAAAGCCACGCATTAGCACTTTGAGGCAAGGGATAGCAACTCTATAGGGAACCCAAACAATTCCATATAACAAATCCACTCATAGTTGTCTGGAGGCTTGCCCTGTAGCTGTAGTGGGACATAGTCTTGTTTAATCCCAGTGTTTCATTTAGTAGCAAAAAGCATCTCAGGACTTCTGCCCTCACATTTTCAAGGCTCAGGAGATACTACTTATGCATCATGGAGTACAACTTGTATGTGATTCATTCAGTTCATGACAGGCATTGATCTGTGAAGCTGTGGTGTCATCTCCATTATACCCAGGTGACCAGCCAGTCACATACTATTACATCATCTTTGCCTTTGCCATGACTGCAAGAAAAAGTATATTTATCTTCTTCCAGTCAACAATACACAATGCCTTCCCTATAAGCACTCATGTTA